TTGGAGTTAATGGGAAAACTCTTTGATTATCTTTTGATTGAATCAGTCATGGATAAAAATGTGTTCGCCGTTAATTATACAGTATGTGTCACATCGTGACACATACTGTTGCATTAAAACATGTTGCATTATAACATGTTGCATTATAACCATATTTCGCAAACGTTTTTGTAGGGATATTCCTGAATTCAAACTCACTCTCACATATGTAGTTTGTAAGGTTGTAATCATTTCCTTGGCTGTCAACTATTATTTGAATGTCTTACTAGATCACTTCGCGTGCCGCACTGTAACGCCCACTCGACTGTCTCGATATCCTCGTGGCTAGCGTTTAAATATCGTAATCGAATGTGGTCGAAATTTCTCCGAAGTTCTGTCGAAGTCGGTAGCATTATTTTCCTTGCTTCTCGATTAGCGGGGAATCATCGTACACCCGCGCGGTCTTAGCCACGTCACGCCTGGTTTAAGGCTACCAGCGGCGGTCGGCGTTATTTTCTTTCGGGCATGATTTACAACAATATATATTCCGTTCAGTACGAGTACTCCGTAATGTTTTTCAAAAATGATTGATATAGCTTTTCAGGTCATGAGCGTATCCAAATCTGAGAAAAACAATATTTTTATTTTTACAGACCTCCGGTTTCGCTGACTATGGCCCTCACTCCTGCAAGATACACCAATAGTTTTCTGCCTCCAGTGTCACACTCGGCTTTAACGAATAGAGAACCAACGCCGACCAAAGATAATAGTGATAATGATGGTAAGTTCTTTGAAAAACAAACAATCTGGTGTTATGAAAAATGCTGAAATTGGATGGATTTCACTTTTTTTATTTGAATGAATGCTGGGAATGTTATCTGTCAACCTTCATACAATGAAGCAGGTATAATAATAATCTCTTATTCAGTGGGATATATCCTAATTGTCTGAAGTTAATTAAGGGAAAAGTTATCTGTGAAGATTTATTGTATTGAACTGTTTTTCTGTTTCCTAGTTCCATTGGAGGTATTACATAACCTATTATTGTAATAACATACTGAATAAATGACAACTAATTTCCATTTGTATTTCTGTATGGCCTCACCATACTGATGATGGATCAAAAGCTCGAAACACGTGTCTATGAATTGTCTCTTTCTTGAGTACTATGTCCGATGATTAACTTCTGTATTCATATCAAGACACTCAATAATCTTTATATCTGTATT